GCTGGCTGGGCCTGATCTCTTGGTTGTCCTTTCACACATATATTTTTACTGTAGAATTTTAAATACTTTATATAGAACAGCTTGAACTGAAAAAGCTTAATCACTACACATAAGAAAGTGTACCGTAAGAAAGTACATACCAAGAGAAAATATTTCCCACAGCAGAATGCCATAAGACCACACATCACTTAATGTTGTGTACAGATTGTCAAAAATGCTTTCAGGTGCCATCCATTTTACTGGGAGGAAAGTCTGTAGCAAAAAGAAAGAAACCCCAAACCACACAGCTTAGTCATTAAAGAAATGCTTCCCATTACAATTGTTGTTTGATAGCCAGGATTAACATCTTTCTGATAGGAAAAGTTGTGTTAACCTGGCTAGTGTCTATTTTTAATTCCATATAATGCAGAGGTACCAGGACTATAAGCAATGCTACTATTTGCTCCCCACAAAAATTAATTAAGCCGTAACTGTATTAATTTTATCACTAGCAAATGAGCAGGCTGATTGAAGGTATGATAACAAAGCTGGCGCTGCTGATCTAGATCTGATATGTCATTGATTGATGTGTCACTACTCTCCATATCATAGTGACAGTTCCCTAATAATTTATCTAGTCACAAAACTTGCCAGTTAATATGAAAGCCTGTGAAGTATTAAGTGTGGCCAAGTACTTTTTGGCTTTAAAGCAGAACTAGGAAAGTTACAGGAATTAACATGCTGAAGAAACATTGTCCTCAGGAGCATTCATCCCAATGGTCAATTAGTGTAACCGACACTAAATGGCAAGAACATTAAACAGCATTTAAAACTGACACTTCTCATTTCAGTTAAAGCAGAGCTCAGGAGATTAAGAAGTACGTACGCTGCCCTTGGAGACATAGTTGGAATCATGCATGATGTCTCTAGCCAGCCCAAAGTCACAGATCTTCACGATTTTTCCTTGAGCCAGGAGGACATTACGAGCTGCCAAGTCACGGTGCACACACTGTATGGAGAGAAATTAAGTTAAGTTGTTCACAGACATGCTAATTCCACGAGGGCCATTTCCCTTGCAAAGATCCCTGAAAAAGATCTGTTGACTTTCTGGGCACAGTCTCAACACGATCTTCTACTGAACAGGCACCTGTATTGCCCCACTAACAGGGGCAGGTAGGCACCAGTCCTTAGAACCAGCGAGGGCTCATACGGATGCATTGTGGTGAGGTGGAGACAAAAGTGGTGCCACCCTTTCCCCTTCTACTGGTCATGTGCCTATGCTTCTGGCCATGCTGGTCTGGGGCTGTATGGACCCTCCACCCAGACCCTGCCTAGGTCCACCACCACCTCTGGCACCCTGACTCCATGAATGTTGTGGGCTGCAACAGGAGAAGAGGACTGACTGCTGCTTTGATTTTTCCAACCACAGTGAGCTCAGTTGCCAGTTAAGTGAGAAAGTTGTCTACAACCCCAAAAAGAATATTATATTGGGCTCTGTTTTCAGAATCTAAATTGAAACCCATAGTTGGAGATGAAGACGTTTTTACACTTTCTTCTATTTTACTTATTTTTTTATTTACTTACGTTTTTAGAAGCCAAGAATTCCATTCCCCGTGCAACCTGGTAGGTGAAGCTCAGCAAATCCAGCAGGCTGAGGCCCTCTGAACTGTCATCTGAAAGAAGGTTTTTGACTTCTGATTCTGTTGACAAAGAGAGGAGAACCTGCTTGTGCTGTGGAGTGTGAAAGCAGCACCCATTTCCCCGTACCTACCACACTTCTGAGCTGATTATTTTAACAGAGTACCATGACCAAACCAGTCTTTTCATAATAACTAACCACTTTTCATGTCTGCATCCATCACTGACACATACTGCATTCTTAAAAATATCCAGTATTAAATACAAGTTTTTGTTTTTCTCCTGTCTGTATTTCTTTCCCAGAGAATTGCAGGAAGAGGTGAAGTTAAAGAGGCTCATTGAAGTGTTTTACAGGTTGTTTACAATACTCAGCATGTGGTACAAAAACATTTATTTAAAGGTGGTGCCTTCATTAGGTTTTTGTGCATGCGTGTACATTTTTATCCGTTTACTTTTGCTGAATGCTAATTAAATAATTAACATTTAATTAATTTATGTATTTTTTATAATTAATTAACTTATTAATAATATTTTTGCTGACTTGCTAGTCCCCCAGCAAGTATGCACAGGGACTAATCCAATACCAGCAAAAAGGGTCAAGATTTCTATGGCAACAGTTCTTATTTTTTTATGAAAGATGTCAGCAAAAAACAGTCAAAATCCAGTGATTCATTTACCCCAACTATCCTAGAGCACAATGTGAGTACATTAGTCTGCCATGTAAATCTGGGGCTGGATATGGTTCAGCTTCTGAGGCCTAGAGGCAGAAGCGATGGCGCCTATTTTTAAAGCAAAACGTATTTGGTGCCTGAGAACGGGGCCGGGGAATGGGATGCGTTCATCATCTTCCTTACGTAATCCAGGAAAGTATTCGGGAGTGTTCTGCATTTGCGAAGCGTCAGTTAACGTGAAAGGGAAGCGGGAACAGAGCAACGTAAATTACTATTATGAGTGTTCGCTGCTACTGCTCAGAGTCTCGCAAGCCGGAAGGCGGGTGTCATGGCTGCCCCCGGAGGTGCCTACAGCCCGCCCGCAGAGCACAGCTGAGTAGTTCACCTCCATACAGAGGGCAAAAATAAGACATGCATTTATGCAAGAGTTACTTGTATTAATGATGTATCCAGAAGGGACAATTCTATGTTACCTGACATAGATTTCTTCTTATATGAAGCAGGCCGATCATACACAGATCTCTGAATATCAGAGTATTTAGATCCCTCCTTCCTTTCCAGCATTGGCACGTACTGAGTGGTATCCGCTTGTTTCATGTCCATGTATTCTCCAGTGTTTTCAAATGATAATATCACATAACTGAAATTGGAAGAAAACACAGGTGTATCAGCTGGTGTTGCCCAGGTGATTTCCCTGCCACAGCATCCTGTAGACCTAATAGTTCTCTGACAATGGTGTACAATGGTATTGCTGTGAAATATAAGAGCTGGCTTCCTGGTAGGGAATACATAAAGATCAGGTATTATAACATAACCATGTATTACCGCATATGAGTACATGTTACCATCTATCACTGTAATCAAACACAAATGCTTCAGACTTTTCCTTTTGTCAATAGCCAGGTATGCAAACATATATTGTTTAAATTCCAAAAATCCCACTCAGTTCAAGTATTACTACCTAGGGCTTTTAGTTCAAGGCATTCCTTGAAGACACAATTTATTCACTC